TTGAGTTGACCCGAGTTAAGTTTGGATTGATTTGAGTTGACCTAAGTTAAGTTGGGTTGACTTGAGTTAGGTTAGGTTTTGTTTAGGTCTGACCCAGGTTAGGTTAGGTTTGGTTTAGGTTTGACACGAGTTAAGCTAGGTTGACCCAGGTTGGGTTAGCTTTAGTTTAGGTTTAACCCTGGTTAAGATAGGTTGACTTGGGTTAGGTTAGGTTTGATTTAGAATTGACCCGTGCTAAGCTTGGTTGACCCGGGTTGGCTTAGGTTTGAGTTGGGTTTGACCCAGGTTAAGTTGGGTTGATCTGGTTGGCTTAGGTTTGATTTGGTTGTGACCCAGGTTAAGATGGGTTGATCCGGTTTGCTGAGGTTTGATTTGAGTTAAACCTGGGTTAAGCTAGGTCGACCAGGGTTAGAATTTACCCATGTTAAGCTAGGTTGACCCAGGTTGGCTTAGGTTTGATTTGATTTTAACCTAGGTTACGCTGGTTTGACTCGTTTTAAGTTAGGTTTGATTTAGGATTGACCTGAGTTAAGCTTGGTTGACCTGATTTAGGTTAGGTTTCATTTAGGTTTGACACGGGTTAAGCTGGGTTGACGAGAGTTGGCTTAGGTTTAATTTGGATTTAACCTATGTTAGGTTAGGTTTAGTTTATGTTTGACTTGGGTTAAGGTTGTTTGACTCAGGTTATGTTCAGGTTTGATTTGAGCTAGACCTGGTTTAAGCTAGGTTGACAAGGGTTAGAATTTACCCATGTTAAGTTGGGTTGATTTGAGTTCAGGTTTAGTTTAGGTTTAGCTTAGGTTTGACTTGGGTTAAGGTTGTTTGACCCAAGTTATGCTAGGTTTGTTTTAGGTTTAATCTGTGTTAAGAAAAGTTGACTTAAGTTGGTTTAGGTTTGATTTGGGTTTGACCTGTGTTAAGCTGGATTAACCTGAATTGGCTTATATTAGATTTGGGTTTAACCCGGGTTAAGCTTCTAACTAGGTTAGGTTAGGTTTGATTTTTGTTTGGTCTGAGTGGGTCAAACTTGGGTTAGCTTTAGTGTTTGATTCAAGTCTGGGTTCGGTCGGACCTCGATTAGGTTTAGGGTTTGGTTTAGGACTGGGTTCGGTCGAACCTGGGTTAGGTTTAGGGTTTGGCTATGTGAGTTTGAGTTACATTGGTTCGGGTCAACTTGAGTCGGGTTTAGGGTTAGGTCAGGTCTGGGTTGGGTCTGACCTGGGTTAGGTTTAGGGTTTGAGTCAGGTCTGGGTTGGGTCAGACCTATGTTTTGGTCAGGTCTAGGTTTGGTCAGACCTGAGTTAGGTTTAGGGTTTGGCTAAGTGAGTTTGGGTTAAGCTAGGTTCAGGTCGACTTGAGTTGAACCCAAACCCAAGCCTAATCCAAAACTACTGAGTTGATTAACCTAGCCTAAGGTTTACTTGGAACTCAATGAAAGTAAATGGTTAAACTAAAAGAGAACTAAGTAGGATAATTACTGCGAGAAGTTGGCATGACGGGAGGAGGATGAGGCTTGCCGAAAAATTTGTTCCCTTTTTCTTCTTCCTTTGCTTGGAGTAAGTGTCAAGGAGTTTGAGTTGATCTCATGTGTGTATATGTTTGAAGGAGTGCCAGAGGTTTCCTATTTCTAGGCTCAAAAGTCAGTGACGGAGCCTTTGAAAGCTGTACAATCTGGTGGCGCATCGACGACAGAGATCAGTTGGATGTTTAGTGAGCCACATATCATCGCCAGTGAAACGGTGTGATGATTCATGGATGAAAGACATGGATAATTGATATTTTCTCCTGGCATGACCGTGCTGAGGAACTTCCAGACGTGGTCACGCTTAGTCCAGGCGTGACCACGCTGAGGAAGTTTTAGGTGTGGTTACAACCAGGTCTGGCATGATCATGTTAGGCCATAAAACGAGCATGTTGCTTTTTGACCAATTTTGCTGTGTCGGGCCATGATGTGATGTACGTGTTAGTTCTATGTGACCAAAAATGAAATAAAAAATACACTTTTTGTTAGAATTGAGAATAATTTGAATAAAAATTTGACTGAAGTTTCTCATTTAATTTATGCTTATGATATTTTGATATTTGACAAAGCTGATATTTCATCTATTAAGCTTATTTCTCAAATTTTTGAAAAATTCAGTAAAGTCACCAATCTTAATATTAATACTTCTAAATCTGATGTTGTTTTTTTTCTAAAATGGTGGATGGCACTACTCAGAATAATATGTCCTCTTTATTTGGTTTGATATTAAACCTCTTCCTTGGAATTATCTGGGTATTCCTATTAAACCTTCCAAATTTCTCATTCATGACTGTCATTTATTAATAAAATTAATAATTGGATGGATTGTTGGAAGACAAAACTCCTATCTTCCGATGATAAACTTTAACTTATTAAATTTACAATATGGAGTTATTTGTATTGTTAGTTTCACTCTGCAATTTTGCCTAAAGGCGTAAGGATGAAAATTTCTTCTTTGATATCAAATTTCCTTCAAAGTAATGAGGAAGGAAGGAAACTTCATATTATTTCTTGGAATAGATTTAATTTACCTAAACATCGTGGAGGCCTTAGTCTTCCTTCTTAAAATACTATTAATATTTTGTGTAAAACTAAAATTAATTGGAACTTTTATAATTTCAATTCCATATTATAGGATTGGTGTTAATCATTATAAATCCTTTTGGAAGATTTCCCGTTACAAAGTTTCTCCTTTTTTGAAGGTTTTAGTAAATGTGGCAAATAGAATTACACCTTTCTTAAATTTCAAAGTTATTTCTAGTAGTCATTTATCTTTTTTCTATGATCTTTGATTAAATGGTTTATATTTGAAAGAAGAATTTGGCAACATTATTTTCAATTGGTTTAACCTTTTAGATTAGGCCACAATATGTGATGTTCTTACTAATAATTAATTGAATTTGGGTCTTTTTAATTATGCTCCTACTACTTTTATCAATATTTCTTCTAGGAATTCTTTTCTTTAGAGAACTGAAAGCAAGTTTTGTAATAAGTTAGGCTTTTTTTTTATTTGAATCCTTTCCTTGTGTAACTAGTTTAATCTCATTTGGTTTAAGGGTTATGCCATAAAATTTGCTTTTATCTCTTGAAAATTTATTCACAAAGGTCTCAAAACTTCTGATATTTATATTTCAAGAGGTACTAATATTAATACTATTTGTATTCTTTGTTTTAATAATATTGAGAGTTATAATCATCTATTTTTTAAATGTCAATTCTCTCATTATCTTATAATAAGTGTGTTCCTAATGGGGACTTTTTATTGCTCCTTCTAATATTATTCAAGTTTTATATCATTTTGATAATATTTCTTGTAAAATTTAAAAAAGATGCCATCTTTTTGCTTTGCTACTTTTTTTTTTGGAATGAAAGAAATTCTAGAAGTTCTAATAATAAATACTCAACAAATGATTTTGTTATTCATAATATTCATTGAATGCTTATTTATAAATGACAAAATTGAAAATTGAAGAAGGAGTTTTCTAATAATATTACAAAATTTTATGGCTTTAATTCTAATATACATTAATTTCTTATGTTGCTCTGGATGTTTTAATAGTTATTTGTTTATGTAGAATTTATATCTATTCTGATTTCTTCTTCTTCTAGAGCTTGCTCAACTTATTTTTAGAATATCTTATATTCTAAAGTTTGGATGGAATTTAATTTTAACCAATTTTAGTACATTATTATATTCTTGAATTTTGGTTGGATTTCTTATATTTTTCTTTTTTTGTTTACTGCATCCTTTGTCTTCGGAATTTTGATTGTTACTCTTTATTTGTTTGGTTGTTTGTCGACTAGCGTCCACTGTCTTTATTTTCAACTATCATTAGCCGACATTTGTTTTTGCTGGTCTGCAACTCTTTTATTGCCTACTCCCTTTACATTTAATCGATTCAATTGTTTCTGGAGACTATGCAGCCTATATGAGGGGGATTTTCTTCGTGATCTCCTTAAATTTAGGGGATTTCATACTATATTGAAATCTCTCCTCTAGCTTGTTTGCATTTGCTTATGTTCTGGGGTTCTTAGGTTTCTACCGAACTTTGGTTTTTGCCTACCTCTATTAAAGTGCAACTAGTTGAATATATTTATTTATATTTCATACTTTGAAGAGAATTTTAATATTGTTTCATAAGTAAGTTTATCATTTACTACTTGATTTTAGTATTCTATTGAGACTTGGTTTCTAAGCTATCATGATTGCCAATCGCTATTAAAAATTTAATCAGTTATGGAATATAATTATTTATATTCTTTACTTTGGATGAAATTTTAATTATCTTTTCCTATAAGCTCACCTTTATTTCCTGGAGAGCTTCCAACGTATAGTTTCTCTATTTTATATGTTTTGATTTTCTGTATGTTATAGATGTTTACTATTGTTAGCTTGAAAGTTGGACTGCTGCAAATCCTCTTTTCCATATCTTTATGTTTATTTTTATTTTCCTTAGTTTCCTATTATTTATTTTTTTGGTACGTTATTTTAGTCTCTCGTGTTTATTCTTTTAAGTTTCCCAGACATCTTTCTTCGTCGTTCTCCTCTTTGTATTTTTTGTTGGTATTTGCTTGAGGAGTTTGTTTTGGTTGCTACATCTCCTTGAAAATTTTATTGCATTTTTCTTTTTCTATGTTCTTGATTTTTCTTCTATATTGTGTTTTATTACTGCTTATAAAATTGTTCATAATTATTATTTTGAGTTTTATTAGTTTTGTGAGTTCAATTTGTGTCTCTAACTCTTCCTTTTGTGATCCTCATATTTTCCAACAAAAAAAAAAAAAAAAAAAATCTTCTGCTGTTGAGGCTCAACAAATTGCACGCCTCTAGCCCGAAAAATTATTCCATACGGATCGGACACCTTGCGTGCGGTGTCCCATCCGGACCGTAAATCACCTGATCTACGGTCTCGATGTATTTCGGTGGCCCCACCTTAAAAGAAAAAAAAAAAAAAGCAGAAATAATGCTGACCGTCCATAGGCAATAATTTCTCCTCTAGCCCTTGCCTGTCGTCTCATCGTCGTATACCGAAGCCGGCGAAAGCGATCACAGCAATGACAAATTCCGACGGAGAGCCCCTGAGAAATCACTCTGCCGACGGTTGGAAAGAACGCATCATTGTCCCAACTATAATCGCAGGTCCTCCTTCGACCTTTTCCCCTTCATTATTCATTCGCGTCCACAATCTTCAAACATCTTCGTTCCCATGCGATCTCTCTCTTTCGCAGCCCTATAAAAAATTATTATTAAATTAGGTGTACGAATTATCTGATATTGATTGGCAATTTTTTTTTTTTTTTTGTTTAGTTTCAGCTGTTCCACTGAAATTACTATCGGGATTTTTTGCGTTCAGGGGCGGTAGGTGCAGCAGCCGGACTGGTATCCAAGAACAGAATGAGTCTTGGAGCCGTTAACGTGTCCGCAGCTTATGCCTCCAACATGGCCATTGTTGCCGCATGCTATTGTGGTAATTTTCGCATTACAGTAGCTCGAGATTGTACGCTTCTTTTATGATGACGATGATGTTTTTTCCTCTTAATTTGATGAATTTTGTGGATATATACTGTTTCAAAATTTCATTCTTTTTGTGAATTTGGATCCGTCGTTGAAATTAAAGGTGTGCATGTTACACCCATCATTTAGAGTCCAGCTTGTTTTGAAGTCATAACCATCTCTGCCACAGCCTGTGCAACCTGCCTCCCAGAGCAGCCACTGCTCTGCCTAACTCATTTGTACTGCAGGATGATAACAGCACCCCTCACCAGGACCATTAATAGCTAACAGACTTGTTATGCTATGCTACTCAAAGATTCTATGATTTCTATATAATGTAATCACTGTCACTGCTATTACATTGAGAAATGAAGACAATTTCACCGTCCTTATTCTGCTTATCATTTTCTAATAAACCACTGAATCTTTGGTTATTATTGGTATCGAAGCTACTATGATCCTAATGGCAACCCATCTACTATCTCGCAAATGGAGTGATCCACATCCTCCAGTGTTCTTGACTCGACAGCAGCCGCATACACCATTGTACTTCCCTCCCTCATATTCAACATCAAACACCTTATCTCTACACTTTTTCAAAAGACAATTACTCAATATGTAGATCCTAAATTCTTCAAATCTTCACTGCCGATGGCTTCTCCAGCTTTTTCAATGGCAACACTCCTTGTCCACATAAGCTCATCTCCAATGCCCTTGGCTCTACATTCTCAAACCCTCTCTATTTGAAATAGACCTTCATTGATCAAAACATGGCCGCTACCCTCTATTTCACAATCTCAACACATTCTTTGACATCTACACAACCATAGCAAAACATTTGCAAGATACAAATCAATCTTGAGTTCTTCAACTAAAGAATGCACTACATAATATCTCCATGAAAAATCAATCCCTGACACTATTTATCTACCTTAGTCTACAACATTGTCGCCATCGGCATCCACATTGCCATGAACATATCAACTGCCATATTTTTTATGGCCTTCCCATCATTTATCATGCTTTCAAAACAACAGTTCACACCAAGATTACCCCAATTAATTTTGACGACTTCTATTCCATTTTGTTCATTGAAGAAATTAATCTCGTCAATGAATACAGTAAGAACACCAACACTTCCTATCCTCAACTTGCCCTTGCTACTTTAGGTGGCCAAGATAGCCACTTTTTCTCTCTTTATTTTGGGGCCCTCGTCAATTTCTTATCTCATCAGTGAAGCATCACCATCTTCTCTACCGGACCATGAAATAATCAGGCACCCATCAGACCAACCATAATTTATCAAATCAACCATAAACCTGGCCATTCAGTGTCCAGAATCCGACACAAATTCCCACTTGATTTGCGAACTCAATAGCCTCCAATTTGCCACTCCTCACTCAAGCCTTGAGCAAGTGGTAGTTGGCAAAAATCAATAAGTACCCATACACTGCTCTTATATTGGAGTGCTACTCGCTCCCAGTCATAGGTTTCTTCTTCTTGACCTATTTCATTCAACCTCTCTTTCCCATAAATTTAATTATGTTAAAAAATTCAATATTTGCAATAACGTGGTTATCTCCTTTGATTCATCTAGCTACTCCATGAAGGACCACTAAACCGACCGAATTCATATTTAGAGCTACAACTTTAGAGGTCTCTACCTTGTCAGCTCTTCACCACAACAGTGAACTCTTACAGTCGTTCTTTGTTAGGACACTAATTTTGTAGTTTGGCACAAAAGGCTTGGCCACCCAAACCTCACTATTATGTCTATCATATCCAAACAATGCGAACTTCATCGCTTTCTTTTAGCTCCATTATTCTCTGTCACTTGCTAGAGTGGGGAAGGGCCAATTGAACCTACTACTGAAAACAAAGCGTAATTGAGTTTAGAAAATAAAATCTTCTTTCTTTTTTACTTCACTTTTTGAAACAGTAGGCCCAGGAGAGCTGTTCAGATGAGGCATTTGGGAAGCGACGCTTTTGCTTATTATAAGCTTCACTTTAATTGGCTAGCCACTTCCTACTTTTTCTCCTTTGGGTTTCGAAAAAAACTGTTCCTATTTGATCTTTCCCGTTTGAAATTCCAAAGAAGCAATCGTGGAAATAAAATTTTGAAATTCATGAACTCAAGAGAAATAAAATGATTGTTCTTGTTATTTTTAAAAAGAAAGAGTTTTTTTTCGTTGACGGGAGAACCTTCTTCTCATTCTCTTTTTTCAAAATTGTGATTGAGAGGAGAAAGAACGAGCAATCGCCAATTATTTACTTTATCTAATAATCATATATCTAAATCACTGCTCATTCACTAAAATGTATGGGACCTTCCTCTGTTACTTCAATTCTAGGATACAAGTACTAAATTTTCCTTATTGACAAATTTTCTCTTTTTTCCTATGACTTTTCAATGTTTGCTAAATTTCTAACTCTCCACTAATTTATGGAAGTTCAGCACATGATTGACACTTAAGCGAACGCTAAAATTAAAACACTATGCTTTAACTGAGGAGAAGAATACACCAATACTCATCTCCAAAACATTCTAAAAAATTGAGGCATACTTCACCGATACTTTTGCCCATACACATCCATGTAAAATGGGATTGTTGAGCGGAATTGTCATCATATCATCAAAATCACTTGTGCTCTCCTACACGTTGCTTTTGTCTTACTCTCTTTGGGTGGATACTCTCATAACAATTGTCTATTTTTTTAATCGGCTACCCATTAAAACAATTAAAATGGTCTTTCTCTATCAACTTTATCACAAACGATATTTATATACTCACTTAAAGACTTTTGGCTGTTTCTGCTACCCTTGACTTCAACTTCACTCCCCTTAGAAGATTGCTCCTCTATCCACTCAATGTATATCCATTGTCCGCTACAACCCGTACATAAGTAATGTTGTCATGTACTGTTATGTTGTCCTCTTGTTTCCCCAATTTGTTACCATTACAAAACAAAATGTTGTCAATCATGTCAGCAGCTCTTAACCCACCCCATAAATATCTCCCCCAAAATAACCCTTTGTTCTTCCATTACCAAATCAAGCTGACCACCCACGAACCTCCCCTCAATCCACTATATTACAGTCCGCCTTTCCACAACCTCATCCCATTCCTCCAAAAAACATGTCTCAACTTCACACTCATGCCCAAGTTCGCCGGACCACAAACTCCATCCAATGCTCACTCAGTCTAAAACAAGCTCACTTAAACCCATGTATTAACCAAACCTTCTCCATGATATTCATTATTTGCCAGCTATATCCAAGCAGTTAAAGACATTTATTGGTGACAATCATAGCTGTTGAATTTCATGCTCTCCAACAACTAGACACTCGGCTCCTAATCCGTCAAACCAACCAAATCATTCTAGGCTTGAAATGGACATTTTACACCAAACTCTATTTTAATAGCACTTTTGATCTTCACAGAGTCTATCTTATCACTTAATGCTATCAACAAGAGCATTGCATCGACTGTAATGAAACCTCTAGCCTAGTCGCCAAAGTGTCCACAATTCATATTCACATCAACATTGCCCTAAAAAATCATTGGCCCATTCTAAAATTCAATGACTCCAATGCTTTCCTCCACGACATTCTCCAAAACCGGCTACATCCATCAACCCTTGATCTTCAAAGACCCACAATATTCTAATTACATGTTTTCTCAAGAAAATGCCATACAGCCTCACACAAGCCCCTTCACCAATTCTCCAACTTTCTCATCCAAAAAGGTTAACATTATGCTACTAGAATATTGTATACTTCTATATAATGGTTTCAGTGCACCATTGTCACATTGAGAAATGAAGAAAAGTTCATCACCCTTTCTCTTCTTTTTTTGACGAACTACTGAATCATTGATAGCAAGTTATTTTGATGCTCTAAAAGACTTCATCTTAATGGGGTCTTTAAGGGGAAAGCAAATATATCTTTTTACGGTTCATGTTTTTGGAAGGAAAGGAAGAAGAGCAGGATTGTGGAAGTTTTTATCTTGTTCGAGCTTTATTCAATTGCTGGATTGTAAAAGGAGTCGTTGAGCTGAACAATTCCTATCAACCTTAATTACTTTCTTTGGATTGGGCTCAAGCCAAACTAAAGTGTTGCTTGATAATTGTTGTTTACGATTGTTTATGTTCACCCATAAGCTTTAGAGAGCTCTGAAGTTTAAATCACATATTTGCAAGGGACTCAAAAAGATAATTTTAATGAAATTTGTTTAGGAAATATGTATATCATTCGGACAAATAACTTGAGTGTTATCGAGGGAAATGTTTAGAAGTGGTCTTCTTGCTTAGAACAAGATTAGAAAAGTTTTTCAGTTTTGTGATATGTATAATGACTTCTCCATCTAGTGAAAGAGTTATTTTTTAGTTAGTTCTGGACTTATAGGATATCATAGTTGTGGTGTCTTTTATTGTTAATTTTCTACAAATAACTTGAGTGTTATCGAGGGAAATGTCTAGAAGTGGTCTTCTTGCTTAGAACAAGATTAGAAAAGTTTTTCAGTTTTGTGATATGTATGATGACTTCTCCATCTAGTGAAAGAGTTATTTTTTAGTTAGTTCTGGACTTATAGGATATCATAGTTGTGGTGTGCATCTAAGAGTGTTTTTAGGTTTCTCTTGAGTCATGAAAAAAATTGTATTTGATTGAATATTTTTCTTATGCTCATTTCTTCCACTTGTGCTTTACTCATTTATTTTTATTTTTGTGTCTTTGAAAAAGTAGGTTGTTTTTTTTTTAGCAAAATTTTGAAAGCCTAATTCACCCAAATTTTTATGCTCATTTTGTAACAACCGTTAAAAATAGAAAAGTCTAATAATAATAATAATAAATTAAAATAGTTGTTGCATCCTTTTGACGTAACCAATGAGGAGGTTACACCAATTAGTAGGCGGAAGGAAGAGGGTTTCGAACAAGAACAACTGCAAATGAGAACTTGATCGAGTGAGAGCGAG